CGGGCGCGGGCAGGCGCGCACCTCAGCGGCCTAGGCCCAGGCGGTGGCTGTTGCGAGGCCTATGGGGTGAGTGTCCGGCCTTCCCAGACCCTGGTCCGCCTCCCCAAGTCCCTTGCTCGGCGGCCGCTCTCCGGACCTCCAGAAGGCCGTCCCCGCCCCCAGGCCTCAGCGAAGAGCCTCAAAGTGCGTACCCCACTTCCCCTCACCGCCAAAACACCCCCAAACGCAGAACCCTGCACAGCCCCCTGGCCTCCGCTCCGAAACAAAACTCCCGAAAGGGATGGATGGCATTACTGCCGGACGAGGCCCGCGCTGGGCGACGTCGCCCCTCTGCCCGACGCCCGGCCGTCGCCGGGTTCGGCTGTGCAGCGAGGGGCAGGCCGCGCGTGCTCCAAGCCTCGGGACCCCGCGGGTGGCGGTAACGGGGGACAACGGCCGTGGGCGGTCCCGAACCGGTGGTTTTCTCAGAAAGGGCGAACCAAAGAAGTGACCCCTGTCTCCTTGCGCTTCGTGATAGTGGCTTTTCCCTGGAACAAAGCTCGGAAGGGCAGTGGGACCCAGGATAAAAGGAAATGGTTTAATTCAGTGTTAAATTTTCTTTTCTTTCTTTCTTTTCTTTTCTTTTTTTTTTTAGTCCCCAAAGCCATCAGGATAGCTTTGCCACATTTTTGCAGCCTGGAACTTTGCTTCCGTGGTGTTTGCCGTTTTAAACTTTGAGCCTTTTTGAATGAGGAATAAGCTTCTTTATTGTTTATTTTGCAAATATTTACTAAATGCTCAATGCCAACTTCAGTGAGGTCAAATTTTGTACGGAATTTGTTATGTCGAAGGAATCGGAATATAATGATAACGTGTCAGTGTATGCAAAAACCTCGAAATGATGTAAGCCCCCCATCATCCCTTCCAATTAGAAAATCCTGGAAAGTCACCTAATTTTAGAAGTCGCTTTTACCGTTACCTCATGTGCAGAAACACCAGCCATGCCCTTCTTGGTCAAGATTAGTCTTAAATTAATTTAGATCTTCAGAAATGCCTGCCTACATTCAAAATGTTCAAAACGATACACCAGAGGCAGTAGACATAAAGCTGAGCAAGATATTATACCAACCCTAGAACAGTTTACATTTCGGTGCTAGTCTCTTTTCTCTTATGATGTGACTAAGTACCACTAAATTAAGAGGAAGTAAGACGATCCCATAAGCCCCTGGCAACCACTATCCTGCTCTCCATTTCTATGAGTTCAGTGTTTTTTATGAGTCCGTGTACAAATTTTTGTCTTTCTGATTTATTAACGCCCTCAAATTCTAGTACTTCTAGTTCTGTGTTGAATGAAAGCGACAAGAATGGACATTTTTGTCTTGTTCCTGGTCTTAGAGGAAAAGCTTTCAACCTTTCACAGTTGAGTATAATGTTAGCTGTGGGTTTGTCATATATGGCCTTTATTATGTTGAGATGTGTCCTCACTATACCCAGTTTGGTGAGAGTTTTCATTATAAAAGGATGTTGAATTTTGTCAAATGCCTTTTCTGCATCTATTGAGATGATTGCATGATTTTTGTCTTTCATTCTTTTGATGTGGTTTATCATTTATTGATTTGCGTATGTTGAGCCATCCTTGCAACCTAGAGAGAAATCTCACTTGATCGTGCTGTATGATCCTTTTAATATGCTGTTAAATTCAGTTAGCTAGTAATTTGTTCAGGATATTTGCATCTTGTTAATCAGGAATATTAGCTTGTTGTTTTTTCTTTTAGTGTCTTTATCTGACTTTGGTGCCAGAGTAATCCTGGCCTTGTAAAATGAGTTTGGGAGTGTTCTCTTCTCAATTTTTTGATATAGTTTCAGAAGTGTTGGTGTTAATTCTTCTTTAGATGTTTGGTAGAACTCACCAGTAAAACCACCTGGTCCTGGATTTTTCTTTGTTGGGAGGTTTTCGATTACTAATCCCATCTCCTTATTCATCATCGATCTATACAAATGTTCTATTTTTTCATAATTTCGTCTTGGTTGTATGTTTCTAGAAATTTATCCATTTATTCCCGGTTATTCAATTTGTTGGTATGTAATTGTTTATAGCAGTCTCCTATGAGCATCTTTGTATTAATGTGGTGTCATTTGTCAATTTTATCTCTTCAAAATACCAGTTTTTAGTTTTGCTGACCTTTTATATTGTTTTTCTGGTCCCTGTTTTATTTATTTCTGCTTTTAAGCCTTGTTATTTTTCCCTTTGCTAACTTTGGGCTTAGTTTGTTCATTTTTAGTTCTTTGAGGTGTGAAGTTAGGTTATCTGTTTGAGATCTTTTTTCTCAGTGTAGACATTTATCATTATAAATTCCCTCTTAAACTGCCTTTGCTGCATCCTATAAGTATCATTGTGTTGTTTCCTTTTTCCTTTGTTTCAAGATTTTTAAAAATTTTTCTTTCGATTTCTTCTTTGACCCATTGGTTGTTTAGGAGTGTTTTGTTTAATTTCTACACATTTGTAAATTTCCAGCTTTTCTCCTGTTGTTGATTTCTAGTTTCATAACATTGTGGTCAGAAAAGATACTTTGTATAATTTCTGTGTGCACTTGAGAATATGTTCCTCTTAGGTACGATGTTCTGTATATGTCTGTTGGGTTAATTTAGTCTAAGGTATAGTTCAAGTTAATGTTTTCTTGCTGATATTCTGTCTGGATGACCTATCCATTCTTGAAAGTCAGGTATTGAAGTTCCTTGCTTTTTATATTGTTGTCTATTTTCCCCTTCAGATCTGTTAGTATTTGCTTAATATATTTAGATGCTCCAATGTTGGGTGCGTATATTTTTATAATTGTTATATCCTCTTCATGAACTGACCTCTTTATCTCTGTATAATGACATTATTTGTCTCTTGTTTTAATTTTTGACCCAAATTTTATTTTGTCTGAAGTAAGTGTAGCAACCCCTGCGCTCTTTTGGTTTCTGTTTGCATGGAACATTTTTTCCCATCTCTTCACTTTGAGCCTATGTGTGTCCTTAAAGCTGAAGTGAGACTTGTAGTCAACACATAGTTGGGTTTGTTTTTCATCCATTCAGCCACTCTGTGCGTTTTAGTTGGAGAATTTAATTCATTTACATTTTAAGCATTTACTTGTTTATTTATCTATTTATTTTTGATCCTAATTTTCAGTAGTTTTATTTAAGACATTGCATTTTCCACTCTACAGTTCTTATAAAGTGCATTGTTATTTCCTTTACCTGTGCATGTATTGCACATTCAAGTATCAAGTATCAAGAATGCCCAGTGATTTACTACATAGCAGCTCAGCTTTAAAACCACCATGAAATTTGCTGCAAATTTGGGTCCTTCCATATTTTGTGTGGAACAATGCTAAATCAATGCTCAAGGTCTGTGGATTTACCTTTGGTCACTGTAGTACATGAGGTTCTTAAAAGAATTACTTTGCTTTCCAGTCTCTTAGCTGCCTCTTCAGGAATTGACAGTTCCCAAGGGAGAGAGTCCCCACATGCTAGGCCTGCCTCTGCAAATTTCAGTCTGGTCGTTATATTATTTTAATAACTTATCTCTGCTTCCTGCAGGTTATTTTCATATCTACTGTATTTGTACTTATAGTTGTCTTTACCTTCTTAATGTTATTTATTTCTACTTTCCTTTTTTCCTTGACAAATTTCACCAGAGATTTGCTTGTTTTATTTTTTTAAAAATTGTTTTATATATTCTCTATAATTTATTAATTTCTGTTTTCTACTTCATACATTTATGCATTTAGCTTTATTATTTCTTTTCTCCAAATTTAGTTGGGTTAATTCTGTTGTCCTTTTTCTAACTCCTTAAATTAAAGCCTGAGATTATTTCTTTTAAAATTTCTTTGCTTTTTCACATAAGGACTTAAAAGTATACATTACCATCTAAGTATAATTTTAGGTATATTCCACAAATATTGATATGTACTATTTTCATTATCAGTTTGTTCTAACTATTTTAAATTCTCTCCAATTTCTCCTTTGACAGATGAACAACTTAGCAGTATCTCTTTTAAAATTTCTAAATCTATAGCAACCTTTAACTCATCTTTTTATGTATCTCTACCCTAATGAAATCGCAATCATAGGATATATTCTGTATGATACTGATGATTTGAAATTTACTAGGCACTTGCTTGTACAGCAAGAATATGACCAGTTTTTACAAATGTTTTATGTGCACTTGATCAACAGTACTAATTGTTATGTGGAGGATTTTGTATATGTGTACTAGATCAATTTGTTAATTATTTGCTTAGATATTCTCTATTTTTTCTGATATTTTTATGTTTGTATGAGGTGTCAATAATTTGGAAAATTGTATTGAAATCTTTCACTGTGATGGTTAATTGATCAGTTTATTCCTGCGCTTATATTAAAGTTATATTATATACTTTTATAATGTGTTACTAAGTATGCATTAGTATAGCATTGATGTCAGGTACATGTCTGTATAAAATACTAAGATTTCCTGGTGAATTGAGCCTTTTATTACATGATAAAATATTTTTTATATCAAAGATCATTTTTTAAAATTATTATAGCTCTCTCAGGGTTCCTTTTGATAGTATTAGCCTGGAATATCTTTTAATTTTTTTCTCTACTTTTAGCATTTCCATGTTCTTATGTTAGGGACTCCCTTATAAACAGTATTAGGTAAAATTCCAAATTGAAACTTACAATTTCTATTTATAGGTTTTAACCCATTTACATTTTTTTGTTTGTGTGATTACTGACCTTTTCTGCCATCTTAATTTTTACATTCTGGGTGTCCTACATGTTTTTACGCTTCTTCTATGTCTTATTTTGCTTTTTCATTTTAGTTGATGGATTTCTTTTCTCTCTCTCTCTCTCTCTCTTTTTTTGCATTTTTTTCTTTTGTGTAATGGGAAAGGATAATCTTTTCATCAAAATAATACTGAGTCAGTTGGATAATCACATGGGAAAAAAATGAGTCTTAACCTCTTCTTCAAACGAAACAAAACAATCAATTAAAAGTGGAGAGTAGATATAAAGATGAAAGAAAAACAGTAAAACATTTAGAAGAGAATATAGAAGAGCAACTTGAACTAGAGATATTTTTATTGAACAGGACACAAAAATAGTTAATTAGACTATATTAATATATTAGAAGTTTTGTTCATTAGAAGATACTTGATGGCAGGTCACAGAGCTGGAGAAGGTATTTGCCATATTTAGTTTTAAAGGAACATTTACTAGAGTATGTGAAGAACTCTTTGGTCAAACGATAAGTTGTTCCCCTCCCCTCAATAAAAATTGATAAAAGACTTGGACAGGCACCTCACAAAAGAGGATATGGAAGTGCTCGGTACACACGAAAAGTTTGAGGCAGTCACATTCACTAGTGTTGCTTTCGTTGCCTATTCTGTAATCTATTTCAAGTTGGTTTGGGTGTATGGTATAAAATATGAGTCAAATTTCATATGTTTGCATGCGGATACCCAGTTTTCCTAAGAACATTTGTTGAACAGACTGTTCTTTCTCATTGTGTGTGCTTACCATCCTTTTTGAAGATCAGTCGACCACATATATGTAGTTTTATTTCTGGACTCTTTATTCTATTCCATGGGTCTATGTGTCTGTTTTCCTGCCAGTGCCAGATAGTGTGGACAGGTTAACAATTTTAAGTCTTCCCATCCATGATCATAGGATATCTTTCCACTTGTGTCTTTCTTTCGTCAATTTCATAGTTTTCAACATACAGGTCTTTCACTTCCTTGGTTAAGTTTACCTCTAAGTATTTTGTTCTTTTCGATGCTAGTGCAAATGGGGTTGTTTTTTAATTTCCTTTTCAGATACGTTGTTCTTAGTCAGTAGAAACTCAGCTGATGTTTCTATATTGATTTTGGGTCCTATAACTTTGCTGAACTTATTTAATTAGTTCTGTTAGTTTAATTAGTTCTAACAGGTTTTTTTGATAGAGTCTTTAGGGTTTTCTGTGTATAAGATTATGCTACCCAAGAACAGAGACAATTTTACTTCTTCTTTTCCAATTTGGATGTATTTTATTTCACTATCTTGCATAATTGATCTCACTAGAACTTGTAGTACTGTGTTGAATAGAAGTGTCAAGAGTGGGCATCCTTGCCTTGCTCCGTATCTAAGAGGGGAAGCTTTCAATTTTCACTGTTGAGTATGATGTCAGCTGTGGGCTTTTCATATATGAACTTTATTATGTTGAGGAACCTTCTTTATATACCTAATTGTTAAGCATTTTTATTATGAAAGGGTGAATTTTGTCAAGTTTTTTTTCTGCATCTGTTGAGATGATCATATAATTTTTAGTATATTATATCACATTTAATGATTTTCACATACTGAACCGTCCTCGCATCCCAGAAATAAATCCCACTTGATCATGACTATGATCCTTTTGACGTGCTATTGGATTCAATCTGCTCAAATATGTAGAGGATTTTTGCAAATCCCTGATGCAGTTTCTTTTCTTGTGTGTCCTTATCTGCCTTTAGTATCGGGGTAATGCTGGACTCCTAAAATAAGTTTGGAAGTGTTCTCTCTGCTACAGTATTTTGGAAGAATTTGAGAAGCAGTGATATTAATTCTTCTTTTAATGTTTGGTAGAATTCACCTGTGAGGCTATCTGTTCCTGGAAACTAGAACAGGAAAAATCAGATCCTGTTACTTTATGGACATCTGAAGAAATAGAACCACATCTTACTGTTATTTGTTTATCTATTTCCTTGCGTTTGAAGCATATGGGAACTTCATTAGATATTAAGCAAATTAAAATAAAAATAGAAACAATATAGTTTTCTTTATTTCAAATATATTATCATTTTTGCTACCAATCTTTAATTCTGATTAAGGAGAAGATTAGGAGAAAGAAGTAATACTGTTATTTGCTTGATGTTCACATTATCAGGTAACTTAACATTTAAAAAAAAACCTTTCCTTTTTCCTGGAGTTGAACATACACTCTTTGTAGAAGAATGGATTTGTTGACATTCAACCAGTTTACAGTGCTTCTCTGGAAAAATTTTACCTTAAAGGTAGGTAAAAGCATCCATGGGAAATGTCCATAAATGCCCATTTGTTGCAGTTCAGGGTGTGCGTGTGTGTGCATGGTTGCTTTTGAAAAATCAATTTCAGAACTGTAGGTAGCTCTTCCAAATTTATAAAACTGAATTGATCAGTAGTATAGTATGACCTGTAGGAAAGTCGAAAGGGGAACGGGTGGTACAAGACAGTCCAGGAAGCACTGGCTTTTCCAGAGTGCAACTGGCAGGAGCTTAATATAATAGAACTATCCATTTGTATTGAATGTGTACACTTAAGTTCATTAACACCATCTTTTTTGTTCCTCTTCTAGAGGAGGCAGTTAATTAATTTAATATTGGAAATCGTGACAGCGTTGTTGTTTCCACTGATGCTTTTGCTATTCCGTGCATTTAGCAATGTAAATGTAGTTGGACCCTTCTATTTCACTCCTCAACACGTCAGTACTTTGCCGCGTTTCCTCCTAAATCCTCAAGACTGGGAATTGATTTACGTGCCTTCTAATATTAATGTGTTGAAAGAGATCACTGAGAGTATGAAGAGGAATCTAAACATCAACATAAAAGGTTAGAAATTAAGGTTTTCCGTAAAACTTACTATTAAATTGTTTTTGAAAGCGCTCAAACGATGTGAAAAAATAAAGCCGGAGGAATTATATTTGCCAATTTCAAGACTAAGGTTATAACCGTAGTTATAAAGACAGTGTGGTATTGGTGGAGGGATATACACACAGATCAGCGGAACAGTAGAGAACCCAGGTAGACAGACATACACAAATATGCCAAAATATTTTTACAATGATGCAAAAGAATCCAGTGGAAGGATAATCTTTTCAGCAAATGGTGCTGAGCAACTGGACACCAATAGCTAAAACAGTAAAACCACACTTTAGGCAAAAATTGCATCAGAATAGATGACAGATCTAAAAGTAAAATGATGAAACAGACAGAACATAGGAGAAGATATTTGTAACTTAGACTTAAATGAAGAATTGTTAGACATAACAGCAAAACACCATCCGCAAAAGAAACAAAATGGGTAGATTGGACTTCTGATATATAATTTTATTAGTGGTTGCTCTTGGAGTTAAAATATGCATACTTAATTTTCACACTGTACGGAGAACTAATATTTTACCACTTCACTGTAATATCAAATGATTATTGACATATAGGTCCCTTTATATTTTTCCCTTTGTATTGTAGTTTTCAAATCTACGTAAGGTGAAAACCTCACCAGGAAATATAATTCACACACATATTTTAAAGAACTTAAGAAAACTATTTACCCAGATATTTACCGTAGCTCTTGCTCTTCCTTCATTCTCAAAGTTCCAAGCTTTCTTCTGATATCATTTTCCTTCTGAAGAACTTCCTTTAATAATTCATTAGAGCAGTTCTACTAGCAGTGTATTCTATTTGTTTTTTCTTCATGTGCTAATGTCTTTATTTCATCTTCATCCCTGAGGTTATTTTCATTTGATATAAAATTCTAGATCGACAGTCTTTTCTTTCCACATTTTAAAAATACTTGCCACTTTCTTCTGACCTCCTTGGTTTCTGAAAAAAAATCTGCAGTCATTTGAATCCCTGTCTCCCTCTAGGTAATATGCCATTTCTCTCCAGCTGTTTTCAAGGTATTTTCTTTCTTTATTTGTCAAAAGTTTGACTATGATGTGTCTGAGCATGAATTGCTTTGGCTCATTCTGTATACGGTTCACTGAGCCTTTTGAATCTGAAAGTTTCTCTCTTTCGCCAAATTTGAGGAATTTTCAACAATTTCTAAACATTGTTTTTCAAATGCTTTTCTTTCTCTTCTAAGACAATGATGACATAAATGCTAAAAGCATTTTGTATTGTCCCACAGGTCATGGAGGCTCTATGCAACTTCTTTCCAATCTTTCTTTTCCTCCCTTGTTCACCTTAATTTCTGTTCATTTCTTTACTGACTCCATCTATTATTTCCATACAACTATTGAGTCATGAAATGAGCTCTTTAAAGCACAGAAGTGATCGCCACCCTGATTTATCTTGTTTGTTTTAAAACAGCTTTTTGAGATATAATGCACCTACCATACACTAATTTATTTAAAGTGTATAATTCAGTGGCTTTTAGTATATTCCCAGAGTTGTTCAGTCATTACCACAATCAGTTTTAGAGCATTTTCATCACCAAAAATAAGTCCTGTAGCCTTTAGCCATGGACTCCACATTTCCCATCCCCACCAGGATTAGGAAAACACTAATCTACTTTCTGTCTCTATGGATTCGTCTATTACAAACCTTTTTAGGTAAATGGTTTATATATAAGACTTTTATATAAATTTCATATAAATGCAATATGTGGCCTTTGTGACTGACTTCTTTCACTTAGCATGTTTTCAAGGTTCATCCATGTTGTAGCATGTATTGTTATTTCATTCCTTTTCATTGCTGAAGAACATCCCATTGTATGGATGTACAGCATCTGGGTGGTATGTCCTTCATCAGTTGATGGACATTTGGGTTGTTTCCACCTTTGGACTATTATAAATTATACTGCTGTGAATATGCATGTATGTTTTATGTTTTTATTTCTCTTGGGTATATACCTAGGAGTTGAATGAATGGGTCATATGCTAACTCTGTGTTTAACTTTTTGAAAGACTATCGGACTTATCTGAAATAGTTGTACTTTTTTAAATTCTTATCAGCAGTGTATGGAGTTTCCAACTTTTCCACATCTCACCAGCACTTTTTATCACCTGTCTTTTTTATTATAGCCATCTCAGTGGCTATGAAGTGTTATCTCATTGCAATAGTGATTTGCATTTCCCTGAAGACGAATGACTTACCTTTATATGTGTTTTTAATGATTATTATTTAAAAGTGTAGAAGCTTATAAAATGCTTAAAATTGTTTCGAAACCCAAATATTCACTAAGTATTTATGATATTAGTATTTGAGAAAGTATTTTTAAATTTATGATATTCGGATAGGCTTTTGTCCATGTAAAGTGGCATCTCCCCTCTCGTGAGGGATTATCAGATATTTTTATTTAAGTGAACAATTTTGCCTCTCTGCAGTTCATGGCTTTAACTCGGAAACTGAGTTTGAGAAGTACGTGAAGTTTGACCGCAGATCTCACAAAGTGCTGGCCGCCATTGTTTTCGACCATGACTTCAAAAATAGCAGTGACCCTCTGCCACTTCAGGTGAGAAACTTGTAGTTAGAGTTTTCTAAAGAAATAGTTTTCTAGGATTCGCACTTCCAGTTTCTATAATTTTAATGAATTTGATACAATTCACCCTATTTTATAAGTGAAAAACTTAATTTTCCCAAGATGAAACTACCAGTGTACAGTAAAGCAACAATACGAATCTCGATCTGAGTAACTTTAATGCCTGCGCTCTTAATAATTGCATTCTGCTGATAAGAGAAAAACTGTATTTTCCACACACAAGGCCTTAAATTCATGGGAAACTTTGACTACTCAGGCAGTGCTACTAATTCTACAAAGCGTGGTACAGTAAAAAAAGCCTAATAAAGCAGATGCATCTTCACTAACAGACAGCCAAGCATAGAAAAATCCTTTCTTTGAATGAAACGCAGAATTTAAGTCCTTTCATAAATCTCTAGGGAAAACTCTAAGACTTATCCATATTGATTTAGAATTAGGACATCCATAGGCCTTGAGACTCTGATTATAGCATAGCCCACGGGAAGGAGAGAGAATGACTGCTTTGAACTTGGTATCTCCTTAGAAGATCTTAATAGAAATTCCGTCCTTGTGGTGATGGAAATAAATGGTTAACCTGTGCTATATAGACGTGGAGCCAAATTCTGTGTTTAGAATACAGATGTTTGTCAGTAGAAGGCAAGATTAATAAAACCACTAGTAGGCTAGTACATATTCTTTCTGTGCGTCCCACCCTTCTATGACTCCATTCTTCTGTACCAACTTCTTCCCATTTACTGAGTCAAAATTATCCATATGCTGGAGTGACGTCAGAAGCATGGCAGCACGAGGGGCCCCTCGATCTCTCCCCTTGAAATTACAGCAAGTTTAACAGCTATAGTACAACAAGGATTCCTGGACAACACACAAACACTTCTGAGAGATCCGTGCATCAGAACATCTGAAGGTGGGCGAGTAGGGGAGGAGGGATGGGAGAAGAGCAGAGATGGGAGCTGTGGACGCAGCCCAAAGCACACTGCAGGTCTCAGGGACAAGGGAGGAGTCATCATTGCTGTGTGCACTCTCTCTGGCCCTGAGCATTACTGCCCGAGCCTGGCATATAA